CCCTTGACAAATACATGTACATCCATCGATGGTATTGTTTTCATTTTCCATTTTTATTGTTCTCAACCTCACAAGCCACTATGTGAAACACTGTATATCATATGTATCTTATAATTAAGGAAAAAAATAGTATAATTTCATACTTTCTGTGTCATAACTAAAAAAAATAAAAATTGTCATAACTAAACACAACATGTAATATAACTAAAGAATTCATAAGTAATAACTAAAATAATCATACATATATTATTAAAGTGGAATTGACCAGTAAATCCCATTTTGTGGACTTGTAATGCATAAGGTCCTGAATGTTTTCTTAGTGACTGGGTGGTCCATTAATTTGTTTGTTGACAGTTTTGCCACTGCTAGTATTATTGATTGACATTTGGTGTGGGTTTGTATGGGATAAGGTGAATGAGTGTTTGTATGTCACGTTGATCGAAAAAGTACACTAATGCTTTTTTTAATTTAGTAAGTGTGTAACACTCAAAACATGAGACGTGGGTTGTGACGTGAACACAAGTAATTTGACACATATTTTTTGTTTTTTTTGTTTTTTTTTGTGACATGGGTTGTGTCACGTTTCGGCTTTCTCACAGTTTGACCCTTTGTTTTCCAATTGCCATTTCTGACGTTTCCACATGAACCTTACCATTGGTTGGGTTCACGACATAACCCAAAAACATGGATCCGAATTACCAAAGCAAGCCTAGGATTGCGAATTCAATGTCGAAACATGTTGCAACGTCGTGTTCTTCAACGAGTTCCGCACAGGGTGCAGAGCATGCATGCATTGGTTGACATTGAAAACCAGGAAAGAGATTTGAGAGAGAAACAATTTTGGTCAATCCCAATACATAATTCTTTCTCCAATTATGATTATGTAAACAACCTACAAAATCTTCTTTTATATCAGTTATATACATATACAAATATATACCACATAAAATATATGAAAACATTATTCACAGAACCCATCAGGTGATCAAGCCATTCAATTAATGAGAAGTTTAGAAAAAGAATCGATAAAAGACATATCTATACACACAAATTGTTAAATTTAGGCAATCAATAATCGATCTGCCCGATTCCGTCATCAACGTCTTGTACTCTGTTTTCGGGTCAATTTGACGATGCGACGTGGTACGCCGACCTGCCGGTTTGACAATCATCTTGTGCCCATTTTTCACGTCGATCTGGGATTTCTTGATCGAACTCGAACCGGTTACGATCGCTTCAGAAGAGGCCCTGTGAAAAACGGATTTAGTACTGTTCCCGTCGATCTTGTGCCCAATGTTCACGACGATCATCTTGTGCCCATTCTTCTTCTTCCCCATCTTCGTCTCCGGTGACTATTACAGTCTCTTCTTCAGGTGCGTTTCAGAGCATGGGCTTGACAAGTCCCATACGGCGTTTCTCGACACCAAACAATCATAATTCACCTCTCAGTAACAGAGGATTGAAGGGTTCAAACGGAGGAAATCGCCGATCTTCGGGCGAAATAAAATTTCTTTCAATGTCCAAAGAAAACACAGAGGAGTGTGTTGCTTACACAGTTCACATCCCTGCAACACTAGATCGGCGAGACATGTCTGAGTCCCAGACTAGCCCCTTTGAAGATAGCAAGAAATCAGGGCATCTAATGGGGGGTTCTTACATTAAGGATACTATTTACACTGGAGGATTCAATTCTGTGACTCGAGCCCATTGTAATCGAGAACTCGGTGGATGAACCCAAGGCAGTGAAATCAGAATTGGTTTGTGGAATGAAGGGTTGTTATGAGAAAGCTCAGGATGGTACTTTGAAGGCTCAGTGTGAGTCTGGATTCAAAATTTGCAGAGATATCTCTACTCTCACACCTACACCCACCCCTACCAAACGTGGGATTACATATAAAAAAATGAAAATATAACAGCCCATAATTGATGCGAGGGCATATTTGTCCCCCACATAACAATGTAATTCAAAAAAGGAGTTATCAGTAAAATATCTCTACTATTATGGACTGCCTAATCAAACAAAATATTCGTGGGATCAAATGGAATACAATTTCGCTGTATGGAACTTTTTGATAAATTTCCCATTATTAAAAGTAGTGTTTTTCTTTATTTAGGTGACACATTTTAAAGACTTACTTTTTTTCTAAAAAGGTCACATCAACATGCCTTTTTCATTTATATGTACAATGCCGTTTTGGGAACCCAGTCAAAACGCTGCGTTTTTGGGTTGGGAAACAAAACGCATGAGTGTGCAAAAAAGCTGAAATGGCCATTTGGGAAGCGGAAAAAACGCAGCTTGGCTATTACAAAACTACCCTCAGCTTAGGTAAATTTCTTCAGTTGGCTGAGGGTGTTTTGGTCATTTTGTAGTGATGTGACACTTTTAAAAAATATTAAACCAAAAAATAAAAAAGTCAATTTTTTACTAACTTTCCAAATCACTATCAAAAAATCTAAAAAGCTTGGTAAAAAGTCAAAAGCCAGCTTTTTACCAACTTTCCAAAACACCCCACAGTTCTACACAAATTCAATTTCAATTATAATAAACAATTTTATATGGATTAAATACATTTTTTCATATATTTTTCTTCGTGTGTTCAGTTTTGTCGTTGTCAAATTTCTTTTATATAGTTGATATTTTAATTTAATTATTATGATATTTAAAAAAAAATTATCTCAATATGTAGATAAATAAATAAATAAGACATAATGTATTTAGTTATGTGTATCGCACGGATTAAATTAATTTTCGTTTTTATTTTTATTTTTTTATCTATTTTATTAATGTCTTAATATTAATTTATATTTAATTTTTTTATTTAACATGAAATTATTTATACAACAAATATTTATATTTAATTTAAATTTTATATACCTATATGCAATATGTATGAATAATTCAAAAAGAATATTAAAGAAAAAAATTAATACTCTACATAACTAATTTATATATTTTTTTCTTAATTCAATCACAACATATTTATATTTAATCTTTTAAATAAATTTTGTATGATTCTATTTCTACATATTTTTATTTTCTAAATAAATATAAAAATAAAAATAAAAATAAATAATTAGAATCAATTTTTGTTTTATATTACTAATTTTCTTTCTAATTTAATTATTATTTTTAATATTTAAATTAGTGTTTATTTTACTATCTCATAATTTAATATATATATATCATATAAAATCATTATATGATAATTATACTTTTATAGCACAATAGGACCAAAATTATTAGAATAAATAAATAATTTAATTAAATTTATTATATATAAGTATTCAAGTAAACGATAAGGCTAATATTATGAAAATAAATAATTTATATTAAGACTTTATTCTTTTGTAACACATATCATAATAAAATATCATTACATTGATTAAAGTTAACTCCATTGTATTTTATGTCAGACATTATATTTCTAAAAGTGATTTACATATCAATTTGATATTGATTGATTAAAATAATAGAATAATGATATATGTACCAATTAATATACTAATCAGTGTATCAATTGATGATGTGACATAATTTAAGAAATTTTTAGTATTTATAATTTGTATAATGAACAAGGTAAATAATAATGTCATAACTAATATTGATACACTAGTTAGTACACTAATTGGTACTTTTTAGCACCATCGTACTTTTTTTGTTAAGTTTTTAGAAAATGAATTGATATATGTCAAATGATAAATGATAAATAGTGTGAATTATGATTAAAGAATAATGATTCATCGAAAATGATTGTATATATTTAAGGCAGTTATTAATGTTTCTTGAATAATTTTTAAGTAAAAATTTTAAATTTACAATATTATTGATAATGCACTTTCATGATTTTTGTCAGAAAAGATATAGAAACATAATTTGATTGGAATAAAAATTTTGCGGTTATTATGATGTGTCACATAATTAATCAAAAACTCATTTAAGAACTTAAATTATTAAGATTGTAGAGATTTTGTGTCCGATTCCTTTTAAGGACACTATTTATGATTTTAATTTATAATTTTGTATGCATCAATATAAATAACTCGTACGATCTTATTGATATAAGCACAAATCTTACATTTGAGTCAACCCACCTTAAGCATTTTTTGGTGTAATAAAATACTTAAATATTGTCATATAAAATATTATAATAGATCATAATTAAACACCACTTGAAATATAATTAAAGACCCGATGCATCACTTTAGACAAAAAAAATAAAAAATTAGCAAAGATATTTTCAATTAATAACTAAAATAATATACAATGAGTTATAACTAAGTCATAATTTGTATATTATAGAATTTTCAATTGTTTTTTTTCTTAAAAAAAAAATTATTTTGATACAAGTGAAATTCATGATTTTTACTACTAGTAAATTTGATTAACACAAATGAAAATTTGATTTCAAATTGAGAATATATATATTTTTAAAAAAAAATTGAAAGAAATTATTTTTATAAACTTATTTTACATAAGATCACATATAGTGACAAAAATTTTCAACAATCATTAATAAATCTGTTTGTATTTAGCTTTTAATTATTAAAATTTTTTATGTATTTAAAGTATTAAGACTCAAAATTAATTTAAAAAAAAAAAATAAATTTCCGTGCATTAGCCTGTGTTTGGCAAGTGAGTTTACAGGCTTTTTTGGCTATTTTAGCCACAAAAAACAAAATAGGCTATTTTAGCCATAACAAACAAAACATCACATCCAACCCATAATCATTACATTCTTCTCTAAAAAAAAACTCAAAAAAGCCAAAAAGCCAAAAAGTCCTTCCCAACCCAAGCTTTTAAGCCCAGGCTAAAATAGCCAAAAAAATCAAAAAGCCAAAAAGCCAACCCACTTCCCAAACGAAGACTCAATCACTACATATGACATAACTAAACATCTCAAAATATTGTCATAATTAAAGAAAAAATGACATAATTAAATATATATATATATATATATAGATGGCTAGGTTAGAATTTCCCATATTTCCAAAATTATTTGGCTATTGCATTTTGCCAAATAAAAAAACCTCGTGAAAAGCGCGGCATCGTATTTTGGCAGGAAAAGAAAAGGAAAGAAAATCGGAGAGATATAATGGGCAGCATATCAACAACAGCATCAGTAGGGTCTCGTATAAATTGTTTGACAAGAGTCTTCCTTTCTTCTTCTTCTTCTTCTTCTTCTTCTCCTTCTACAAAACCCAAAACCTTTGCTTCAATGTCTTCTTCTTACCACAAAGAACTCGCTGCTGCCAAGAAAGCCGCCTCTCTCGCTGCTCGACTCTGCCAGGTTCTGCTTTTTGTTTGCAATCATATATGAATTCGTTCTAATTTAACTCTCTAATTCTTTAGTTGGAACCAAACCCATAATCTTAAAGATCAATTTTTTAATTTTTGAGCTAACCCTTGTTATGGATTTCACTAATTGTGTGTTGTTGTTGTTGTTGTTGTTGTTGTTCAGTCAAGTTAGTACTTTCCTTAAATTTAGAAATGCCTGTGAATTTATGTTGCAATACTGTTCTCGGAGAAATGTTTGATTAAAAGAAATTATGTTTGATTTCAAGCGTGATCGATAAATATGTCCATTGCTGTGTGTGTATATATATATATATGGAAATTCTAACACACTCACTCTTCAAAGGGGTGCACCATATGCACCACTAGTTATGCCATTTTTCTTCTTTAGTTATGACCAACAGAGGCAGTAGTGAAGAGATGCGATGCTGTAACGGTAGAGGGGAGTGTTAGGGGACGGGATAGGCCTAGATTAACGTTGGCTAATGTTGTAAATAGAGACATGTATCTACTTAATTTGACTAACGAAATGGCCTTTGATAGGGCCATGTAGAGAAGAAGGATTCATGGAGCCGACCCCATTTGATGGGACTCAAGGCTTGGTTTGGTTATGACTTGTGAATTTTTTAATTATGTCTCGTGTTGTGTTTGGTTATAATATATATTTTTTAAGTTACGTCTAAGAAGTACGAAATTATGTCATTTTCTTTTTTTAGTTATAAGGTGCATGTGGTACACACGTTTTGAGGGTTGTGTACATAGTGTTTCCCATATATATATATATATATATATCACATTAGGGTTATTTTTTTCATTGGTTACTAATAATACTTAATGAGGTATAAGTTATCAATCCAATTTGGGCAACTTTTTCCCTTGAAAATCTTAATGTAGGTATTGTTGTTGAGTGATTGACCTAAAACATGGATCATCTTGTTTAAAGATAAGTCCTGCTATGCATTGGAATATCAGTGAGGTGGATTTTGATGTATGGAATCTTAGCTTCATATGATAAGCCCTGCTATAAGGATACTTCAACCATTCTGATGTATACATGCTTCCTAGCTATTACACCTTTTATTGTTCATATATCAAATGTTATATATCTAAAAATTGCTATATCCTGCGTCTAGGTCAAAACACATAGGTTCAACTCTGTAAACAAAGTTTCCACCATTTTTCTTGATTATTTTGTCTTAACATCCTTTCTTGAGTATGTAATCATTCACTTCTCACTAATTATAAATTCTGTCTCACATGCACCCACATCTACGTTACGGCACATGCGCTCTTTTCCGTTTTGCATTAAAACTTGTCTTATGAAGCTGATTTGATGTGTGGTTGATTTTGGTTTCTCCAGAAGGTGCAAAAAGCACTCGTACAGTCAGATGTCCAATCAAAATCTGATAAAAGTCCTGTCACAATAGCAGATTATGGTTTGTTATCTTACTTTCTTACGCATTCATTTCAACTGTATCTAATCCGTTGCAATCAAGGTTTTAAAAAGCGGCCGCAACCGTTACGTAATGCCGTTACGTAACGGTTTTGGCGGTTACCGCCACCCGTTACGGCCGCTTTTGCAGTGTGATTGAGATTCACAGGTGTGTCGGCCGTAGCGGCTGCCGTAGCGGTCGTAACGGTGCTGTAACAGCCGTAACGGCCTGTTACGCACCGTTACGTAACGGTTCCAAACTGTTTCTTTCGAAAAAACACACAAAAAAAAGGCTAAAAATGGGGGAAGAGGGATAGAGAGAAGAGAGAAGAGAGAAGATAAAGAGAGAAAATGGAGGAGCAAGAGATAGAGAGAGAGAATAGGGAAGATGAACATATTATTAATTTGTTGAAACTGTAAGACCTATGCTATTCTATTCAGCTGCTATTACTAAACCATTTTGTTTGTGTGTGTTTATCTATGTATTGTTTGAAAATAATAATAATAATAATAATAATAATAATAATAATAATAATAAGTGTGGTCATTATCTATTTGGCTTGGTTAAAATATGTATATATATATATATATTTAGCCTCTTATTTATTCTCTTACTTTTGTCATTGTTTATCTTATGTATAATAGTTAGTGATTGATTTTTTGTATAATATAAAGTCATTAATTATTAAAATAAAATGTAAAAAACTCAATTTATAGTGATTTAAAAATATGAAATATATTGCATCATACTTAAAAATTTATAAAAATTGATCAATATTTATTTTTAACCCAATAAATATGATCATGGAAAAAAAATATGCGTATCGGTAAGTTTTTTTCAAATTGTGCAAAAAAAGAAAAAATTCACGGTTCCGGTTACCGCAACCGTTACACTATGGCCTTTACACCCTGCAACCGCAACCGCGTCACCGCCACTGTTACGGCGACCGCAACCGCTTTTCAGAACCTTGGTTGCAATCCTCCATTGATATGGTAAATCAGTCATGTTTTTCTAATTAGCTTGATGAATCGGGTTTTCCCTAGAACAAAATTTTATTTTTTCCCAATGATAATTTTGCTCAAAAAGTTTTGTTACAATGATTGCATAAAAAGGCCATGTAATGCTTTAGCCCAGCTGTGTTGTTTTAAAATTCAGTATTGCATTTTTTTTATAAGTGTATCATATGATCTATTCTACCTCATTCTACTGGATGAATTGCTCAGTCATGCACAAAAAAAGGTGTGAAGTGGTTTTTTGGGGATTCTTTTCTATTGCTCTTTGTTATATTGCTCATGCTTCATTCTCAGGTTCACAAGCAGTGGTTAGCTTTGTGCTAGAGAAGGAACTTCCTTCTGAGTCATTCTCATTAGTGGCAGAGGAGGTGTACATATTTTAGTTAATCTTTCATTTTTCTAATTCATTTATTGTACAATTTCTAGAGATATATAGAAGTTGTTCCATGTTTTTCTCTTTGACTTTGAACTGGTGAATCTAATTAATAATGTCACTGTCTTTAGGATTCAGTAGATCTTCGAAAGGAAGAAGGCCATGAAATCCTGCAACGCATTACAAAGCTTGTGAATGACACTCTTGTCACTGATGGAACATACAGCGCTTCTCCTTTATCTGCAGAAGATGTGCTTGCTGCCATTGACAGTGGCAAATCTGAAGGAGGTCCTCATGGTCGGCATTGGGTTTTGGATCCTATAGATGGCACTAAAGGGTGAACCTGAAAATCATATTTCTTTATTTTGGTATATAGCACCTGTGCATTGACTTGGAAACACTAATTATTGCTTGCAATAGAAGAATTAGGTTTCTTGTCTAATAAAAATGGCTTCTAGATCTGTTATACCAGCTCAGAATGAATTCAACTATGGCACTATTTAGAACTTTTTGGTTGATCTATTGGAGGTTCTGTACATGAAAATCAATAAGGAACTGGATTAGAGAACTGAACTTTGTTCTTAAGAATCCAGCATACTAGAAACAAGTTGTTGGCTGAAAGCTTGAATTGTTCAGTTGAGTTATTTTCTTCACGTTTTAGCATGTTTTCTGAAGTATATTTAACATGTAGGCAATATGGGACATCATTATGTTTCTCCCTTTCTTTTTCTGTTTCCTGGGTCAGGAGTTAAAATATCAATGGGGAAGTTAAATTCCTTGGAATAGGATGCTGGAAAAGTTTAAAACCTTCATCATGCCATTGCCTTATTTCCCAATGTGATTATTTACCTCCAAACACCACTGAAAATTGCTTTTTGATTGCCCCAACTATCATCTTGTTAAATGGGATATGATCTCTTTCTTGAAGAAGTTGAAGGATGTACATATTTGGCTGTATATGTTTTTCATAAAGCTTTTTTAAGTAAATGGACAGTTGTGTAGAGACTGCTCATGGAGAGTATTTGTGTCGAGTATAAGTTTGTATGTTTCCTCCTATGAGGTGAGAGGATCTAGATGATGCAAGAGCTTCGAAACGGGAAATCATACATCCATGGAAGAATTGCATTTTTTGTATGATATCTCTTGCTATGCCTTTAAAGTTGTGAAACATTAGAAATTTGCAATGAACAAGACTGATGGTTTCAGAAATTTTACTTTAGGAGGGCTGGTGGCTTCATTGGGTCCCTATTTTTGTGAGGTTTCTGTAGTGTTGGGAGCAATCAGCTTTCTTTCTTCAACAAGCTTTATGTTATAGAAGTTCCTGAATTCTGAATATGATGGCTTGGATGGAGAACCAAAATATGGTTTCTTTCCTGTGAAAGTCCTTCCGTATGTTGTTAAACTTGGAGGATTGCTTACTCTTTTCGACAGAGGTTACTTGGAGTTCTGTACTTCCCCTTTCATTGGCTTTTGGGTTAGACACTCACAAGAGACAAGGGTTTGGGAATTGATGATGTGATATATAGTGGGTAGGGCTATCCCTATTAAATGTTATAGGTGCAAGGACACTAATAAATCGCTCATCTTCTTTTTGACTACCCTGGCTGTGGAACCATTTATTGATTTATTTTCATGAACCATGTTGCAATGATTTGGAGTACCCCATTCTCCTTTTTTATTTTTTTCTTTTTATAGTAGGTTTGTTTTTTAGAATATTGAACTTTTGTTTTTGCCATTAATAAAGAGTTTTAAAGTTTTTACTTTTGTTGCCATATGGGGTCAAAGATTAATGAATACTTGGATTTCTTCAATTTTTTTGATTGGTTTGGCCTTTCCACAATCAAAACTCTTTCTCTCTTGCGTGCTCATTCATTATTGATTTTAGTGCTCCTGATGTTCTGAACTTTATAGGTTTTTGAGAGGAGACCAATATGCAATTGCACTGGCATTACTAGATGAAGGGAAAGTTGTGTTGGGTGTCCTGGGTTGTCCTAATCTTCCTTTAGCACCTATTGGTAGCCATGATCAACATTCTTCTAACGACAAAGTTGGTTGCCTTTTCTCTGCTGAAGTTGGGGCTGGAACTGAAATGCAATCTCTAGATGGCTCGTTGCCTGTCAAGGTTGATTCTTAAATACTGTGTTTGCAATTGATATTCCATTGGGCCCATTTGGTGCAGCTTGTGCAGCTTTTTGAAAGCTGAAAGTTGATAATCATAATGCACAAGCCAAAAGCAGACCTCTCCTAACTTCCAAATAATCAGCTATTTCCAGCTTTAGGCAAAAGCTGCACCCAATAGACTGACATAGACTCTCAAAAATAAAAAAAGCTATGAGCAGCTCATATAAGCTGCACCAAACAGCCCTATGATGCTTATACACGATATTGTTAATGGTCGTTCAGGTGCATGTCAGTGCTACAGAAAACCCTGAAGAAGCTTCATTCTTTGAATCATTTGAAGCGGCACATTCACTGCATGACTTATCTAGCACTATAGCCAAGGTACTGCACTCTGTGTGTGTGTGTGTGCGCGCGCGCGTGCGTGCGTGCAAGCTCCTAATAATAATATTAATTCGTGAACAGAAACTGGGTGTCAAAGCTCCACCTGTTAGAATTGATAGCCAGGCAAAGTATGGTGCTCTGTCCAGAGGAGATGGAGCAATATACCTGCGTTTTCCTCATAAAGGATACCGTGAAAAAATATGGGACCATGCAGCTGGAGCTATTGTTGTGACAGGTACTATCAATAAATGTCTCCCATTTTTTTTATTTCTTGTTGGTTGACCTTAACTAATCTTCATATGATTTTCCATTCAAATTAGGGTTGTGATTAGAATTTGTTCTAATTTGTGACAGTCTGTTTCTAAATGGAACCTCATATGTAACAATTGTTTGTAGTAACCATTAGGACAGTTGAAAGGCGCAAGAACTAATTTGTATTTCTTGCCTCTTATTGTTGCTGTGTTTAAATAGATTTGATAGGTTTCATTTTCATTTTTGGGAATCAATTTACACGTGCAACCTTTCAACTATCATCGAAATATCACTTTACTCCCTTCAACTTCAAAACCTTACATTTAGACCCCTCAACTATAAAATAAAAAATAAAAAGCTTACAAATGCCCTCTTCTCGAATGGGTGAAAATGATGCAAATTAATAGTTGAGGGGGTGCAGTTTTTGTAGTTATGCTTATTTTCTCACCTTCTCCATAAATAAGATGATAACATACTACCAAGACTTAGTTACTATGACCATTTGACAGAAGCAAATGACATTTAGGAATGCATTGGGAGTATGTGTTAGATAGTTACTTTAGTAATGGTGTGAAGTAGCTAAATTGAATATATAAGACGAAGATTGCATGTTGTTTCAATAATAATACTAGGAGATGGTTCTAAAGTAGAAACTAATGAAATTTATTTCTGTAAGAGATGATGAATGATCACAATTTTATTTTTATTTTATTTTTGGTGGCTTTGTATATCTGGTTTTTTGTGGATGATGCAACTGTTTGATTGAAAGATTGATTCTGTGTCTAAGATTAGAAAAAAAACATGTAGGTAAGAATCACAATCCCTTTAGAGCTCAATTTTTTCTGTTGTGTGTCCTGGGTTCTAGGTCAATATGTTGGTTTTCACATTTTGAACTTGCTAGTTAATGTTAGCACTAGTGATTGAAGTCGCACTTTTTTCTTGATTTCATGACTACTCTCTGTCGATGAATTTTGCAGAAGCCGGGGGTGTTGTCAGCGATGCTGCTGGAAACCCTTTGGATTTTTCCAAAGGCAGATATCTTGATCTTGACACTGGCATAATTGTTACCAATCAGAAGTTGATGCCTTTGCTCTTGAAGGCAGTCAGAGAATCTCTTGATGAGAAAGCTTAATCCTTATGATTTTATTGTTTTGTTTGCCCTTTCTTTTCTTCATTGTGATATTTCTATTGCCTTAAACGAGCATCCGAGGTTATGTTTGAGTTAAGGATTTGTTGAGAAAAGGAAAAGGCAAGAGAAATGGAATTACTTGTGCTTAATCGTTTTTCTATGAGAAAAAATAAAAAGTATCCTCTTTGAAATTTTATTAATTTGTATGATTTTAATAATTTCTTTCTTTCCTGAGTTGGCTATAAGGCTAAGTTTGTGGGGAATGGGAATGTGAATTCAAATTCCCATGATTCTAACGTTTGGAATGGATTGGGGTAATAAAGTGATTATTTATTATCTATTTTCAGTAAGAATCACATTCATTTCCAAACTAGTAAGTAAGAATTTAATTTGTCCACTGTTTTATGAAAATCTCAAATTATTGGAGGAATGTTAACCATTTTGAGGGTGAAAGTAAGTTTGGCATGATTGAAAAAAGATAAAAAGTTAAAAAGTCACTATCCTATTTAAGTCACATCATCTTATTTAAGTCACATCATCTTTTTAATACATCACTTTAAACTCAATTCAAACTCAATTTATATTTCATAAAAAATTAAAAAGTATACTTATTTAGTCTTTCCAAACTAGGCATGAGGCCTATTATCATTTTTTGTATAAGATTCTTTGCTTGCTGTACAGTTTACGTTTTCCAGTGCTGTTTATATTTACTTTTTTGTCTTTTAGTCTTTGTGGCAGCTCCTATTTCTTTGTTAATCTTTTCTTTGGACTGTCTTTGGATCATGTACAGGGGCTTTTCCTAGTAATTTATTTTTCAAATTAGGTCTAGTTTGGACGAAATTTTTAAATTAGGCTAAAGTATTATTATAAATCACGCTTTCACTATTTTCAAGTCCCTTCTACGGAAAATTAGTGAAATAGTCTTACAAACTACGCTTTTAATTAAGAAGACGTAGTTATAAATTACGCTTTTAAGATAATCATAAAACGTGGTTTAATTACATTTTTAATTAAGAAGACGTGGTTACAACTACGCTTTTAAGTTAATCATAAAACGTGGTTTTAAATCACGCTTTTAAGTAAAATATTTTTTTTTTTTTTTTTAGAAAACGTGATTTCTAACCACGCTTTTTTAATTAAACTATGTTTGTAAAGAAAGCGTTGTTAAAAACCACGCTTTCAACACTGCACCAAACACATACACTCACAAACACACTCTCTCTCTCTCTCTCACTCTCTGACACAAACACACACATGACTCACACACACACATCGCAAATTATTGGAGGAATGTTAACCATTTGAAAAATGCTTAGGAGCACTAATTAGTGCTTCCACTAATTAGGTGGCAGTGGGTCCCGCCATTAATGATGTGATGTTTTGGTCTTGGAGTTGTGTTTTTTTTTTTTTTTTTTTTTTTTTTAATGCATTAATGCTATTAGTGGTGGTGTTTTTAATGTGATGAATCATTGTTGTAACCATTTTGAGGGTGAAAGTAAAAATGGAGCCTATTATCATTTTTTGCATAAGATTCTTCGCTTGCTATACAGTTTACGTTTTCCAGTGCTGTTTATATTTACTTTTTTGTTTTTTAGTGTCTGTGGCGGCTCCTATTTCTTTGTTAATCTTTTCTTTAGACTGTCTTTGAATCATACACGGGTTTTTCTCAAATTAAGTCAAATTAGCAATTTATTTTTTAAATTAAGTCTAGTTTAGACAGAATTTTTAAATTAGGCTAAAGCGCTATTATAAACCACGTTTTTAAGCCCTTCTCGCGAAAAATTTGTGAAATAGTAAAAGTGTGGCTCTAAATCACGCTTTTAATTAAGAAGACGTGGTTACAAATCAAACTTTTAAGTTAATCATAAAATGTGGTTTCAAACCACGTTTTTAAGTAAAATAAATTTTTTTTTTTTTTTTTTCAAAAAATGTGGTTTCTAATCACGCTTTCTCAATTAAACTGTGTTGTAAAGAAAGCGTGGTTAGAAACCACACACGCACTCACAAACTCTCTCTCTCTCTCTCTCTCTCTCTCAAACACACACATGACTCACATACACACACTCACACTCCATATATATATATAAATTTTATTTCATAAAATTGAAACCAATATTAAATAAGAGAATTTTTTTTAAGGTCCCTGATAATAATAATTTAGAGGATAAAGGACAAAAAAAAATAGTGATGCATCAGGTCCCTCAACAACTTGGCGCGTGTTTTTAATTATTTTGTGGACCAAAATACCCTTCCCAAAATCAACACAGAAACGAAACTTTTCGACGTCTGAGTTCCATTCCAAGCATCCACCATCTTCACGAACAATAGTATAGCAGAGCTAGGGTTTCAATTTCATTTTCACCATCGACATTAGAGCTTCGTTATCTTCTGCAAAAATCATTCCCATTCATTCCTCACAAATTTCTCTGACCCCGTTTTCACTATTCATTGTTCATCGTCATCTCAGTTCATCTTCGTCACGTCGCATCTTCATCTCAGGCCATATCAGGTCGTTATTCAAGTTTAATTCTAACTTTGGTAAATTTTTATACAATACAACCAGATTTTCTCTGGAAACACAGTTAATTGCATTTTATATTAGCCTTCCATAAATTAGGGTTTCAATTTCGCAATAAAAAGCTACCTGAATTTGAAAAAAGTTATTTCTGTGTGTTTTGAACTTATTCTTGAACATGTTTGTGTAATTTTATCTGTAAATTTCTCTGGCATTTGAATTTCTCTGGTTTTTGCTTGATGCATGTTTCTTCTTCCAATTTTCTCTGGCATGTTTATTTTGAAAAAAGTAATTTTCTGTGTTTTCATCTTATTCTTCAACATGTTTCTGTGATTTTGTCTATAAATTTCCCTGCTCTGTAAATTTCTTTGTAATATGTATTTTTAATTGGAATGTTTATCTTTCTCTGCAATGTCTATTACTCTTTTGTCTCTGTCTAAGTTTCTCTGGTATTTATAATTTTCTCTGACCACATCACATCACTTTCCTCCCTTGTGTGTCTCTATCATGTTTAATTTTCTCTGGCATTTTAATATTATGGACTGGAATGAATGTTTTTTATTTGAATTTTCTCTGACATGTGTATTTTGAAAAAAAAGTTATTTCTCTGTGTGTTGATCTTATTTTTGAACATGTTTCTGTGATTTTCTCTATGAATTTCTCTGCTTTGTAAATTTCTCTGGAATATGTATATTTCTATAGAATGTCTATTACTCTCTTGCCTCTGTCTAGGTTTCTCTAGTATTTATAATTTTCTCTGACCACATCGCATCACTTTCCTCCCTTGTGTGTCTCTATCATGGTTAATTTTCTCTGGTTGTGTATGTAAATTTCTCTGGCATTTTAATATTATGAATTGAAATTTTCTCTAGAATGGAAATTTCCTCAAGAATGTGTAATTTTCTCCGGAATGTGTATTTTTCTCTGGTATGTTTATTTTGTTCAATTCGTGCTTTCAATGTGGTGTAATTTTCAGTGGCATGTTTACATTATTTTGTTTATTTTATCTCGCTAATTGTGGAATGAAAATTTTCTTTGGCTTGCCATATTTACTTTTTTCTGTCATTCATTTTCTCTAGTATGTTTACTTCTATATGTAATTTTAACAGTTATTGAAAATTTCTCTCCCATATTTATGATTCTTTGTTGATTTTCTCTGACATTTAATTTTTAATGTCCAATTTTCTCTGGCATGTCCAATTTTCTGTAATTTTCCCTTATCTGAAATTTTCTTTGACATCTCCAATTTTCTCTTATCTGTAATTTTCTCCATTATCTGTAATTTTCTCTTTAATGTCCAATTTTCTCTGGCATGTTCAAATTTCTCTAGGATTTAATGTTGGCATCTTTATGTTTTAATCATTGTCTAGAAATAGCAAAACGTAAAAGCAGCAATACACCGGAAACACCAAGCAAGAAACAGAAACTCTCTCAGTCTTCTTATGAGTTAAGATAAAAAACCAGCAGCAAAACACTAGAAACACCAAGCAAGAAAGAACAACTCTCTTAGGCTTCTTATGATCTAAGATCAAAAACCAGCATCAAAACACCACAAACTCCTCGTCAAAACACACAAGTCCAAGGTGATGAAGCAACTATCATCCAAATGAGTACACTAACTTCAAAAGACTCAAGCTCAAGGGGCAAAAAACCTATTAAACTCCAAAGAAAGAGAGCTCACTACAGCATTCAATACTGATCCAACCTCTCATCTGTTGTCTCCTTTTTTCAAACACTTAAATTCAATTCAAACCAACTTGTAGAGCTTCAAAAGACCCCATTCTGGTATTTGATCCAAGCTCTAACCACTAGAAGGATGGATCCAAAGAAATCTAGGAAATCTGATGATGATGTAGTTGCAATAATCCAATGTTACAATGAAAAAACAAAAGCATTCACAGTTGGTAAAAAGAAGTTGACCTTTACAACAAATGACATGACCTTGATTTTTGGTGTGTAAGGAGGTAAAGGAGCCATGTCATTAAGGTACTCTAAAAAGCCAAAATCTGCATTCTTGAGGAGAAGATTCAAAAAGGACACAAGGCTCACTGGTCCAGTTCTTAAAAATGCCTTGGTCAAAGCAATGAAAGGCAAACAACCAACTGACTTCAAATTGTACTTGTGTCTCACTCTATTTTTTGCAACAAGTGGGAATTCAATAAGGTGAGTTTTTATAAAGTATGTGGAACCTCTTGAATCAATGAAACAATATGATTGACCAGAAGCAATCACATCAACATTGATTGATTCTATCATAGCATTGCACAAAACTCTAGAAAAAGTTATGGGGTGTGTCATTGCATTGCTGGTAAGTATAATATCCATTCAAATTTGCAGTTATCATACTTACAAATTTGTGCGTTTAGAAAAACTTAATTACTTTAATTTTCATCACAGTATTGGCTATATGAACATGCAAATATCATTGACTAGGAAGACAGTAACACAACTGACTTCCCAAGATGTGCCAAGTGGAACCTGGAAACCTTGACGAAACAGCTGCAGAAGACACCAGTCCACTCTCTTGCACCTCAACATGTTAGATTTTTATCGCTACTGAAATCTCAGTGAAATTTCAAAATTTATCTGACCACTGCTTTGTTTCCCTCCTTGTGCATTGATTGATCAAGATCAATTTTCTCTGAACTATCAATTTATGTTTTCTTCTTTGCTTACCACTGGTCT